ACTGCATTTAAATGCAGTTATGGTGTTGTCCTAGGCATCGTTTTTTTATGTATTTGCCAGCTTTTTTCCTGGCTGCTATTCGGTGGCTAGGCATCAAGTTGGCTAACCTAGTCCTGTTTATCATGATAAGCTTGGCATTTGTTGTACCACCTAATTGGTATACTGTAAAAACCTGTCAAGGATGTGGAGACTAGTGAAGTCACGTTGGAAGAGCATGCACTGTTTTAGATATAGGTTACAGTATTGGGGAGCAAACTGGTACTCAAAAGTAGGCAGAAGGAAGCAAACTACACAGGAAACTAGGCACTAAAAGTCAATGGAATCAGGACCTGTAAGGTCCAATGAACCCTATATGTTCCACACTCGCAAGATGTGCTGGTTCCCATTTCATGTCCTACAATATGCTCTGTTGATGATCGAATCCCTCTTCAGCACGAATGTCAATAATATAGGCTGGGCATTCCATTAACATGTGTTTTTCATCCTTGATTCGGCTATTAGTACCACAACAGTGGCAAAACTGCTGCCCCATGGGGACATGGTACTTGCCTCTTCATGCTCTGTTTGCCTCCAGAGCTTAGCAACATAAATGAATCTGCATTAGCTTATGATGTGCTAAACGAGGAATAAAAACCTTAGCATGTGTTGGCCACAGGACGGCTGCAACTCCCAAAAAGGGTGGCCCCATCCAGTGCTTATACTTCACCATTTGCACTCCAGGTTGCTTCCCATCTGATGGGTACTCCTCTGGCAAGACAGTCAGACGCGTATGGTCCCAGCCGCTCATCAAACACTCTCCTAGTGCCGTTATCATCAATCCATTGGGTAGAGGCCTACTCAACAACCAGTCAACACTCTCCTTTACCCCCACGACTTCTTGCGGTATTCCACGCCTAATATTGCACTCCAAGAAGGAAAACAGTCATAACATTATCTCCTGCCATAAAAACTGCATGAGCAATGGTCCCCACTTGCTTTTGAAGACGGTTCCAGAAACGGAGGAATGTTTCACCATGCAATACTGGAAGGGGAGTTCAGCCAGCTCTGCATACAACAGCCTGTGGGAAGGCCGTCCTGTCCCCACTACCTGCCTCATGAATAAAATCTGCAGCTGGACTGCATAATCCTTCAAACAGGCTTCGAACATGCCCTCCAAAAGGTTGGCTTTATCCCGCCGCCTTGAGAGGAGGGAAAGAAGGACAAGGTGGGAGTGGAGGGAGGGAAGGAAAAGGAGGGAGTGGAAGGAGAGGAGGGGGAGGAGAGAAAGAATTACGAGGAGGATGGACGTGAGAGAGAGGACAGAGAGGATTGTGAAGAGGAATACGAAGGGGAGAAGGGACAAAAGGGAGAGAGAAGGAAGAGGAGGAAACGTTTCCGCATTCTGGTAAGGAAAAGAGCGAAAAAAGAGGAGCAAGAGGAGGGTATGGAGGGAGAGAACAAAAGGATGAAGATGAACGGGAAGAGAGGAAGGATAAGATATGTTGCTTGCATTTCGTGTTTGTTTTTACAGGCTCTTCACAACAAATTGCCTCAGGAAGGAGGCCACTGGTGAAGCTGTACCACCCTGTAACAACAACAACAACAAATTCCAGGGTTTCACCAACACATCACAGGCATTCCAGGAGAACAAGTCGGCCTTTCGGCATGTTTTTGTAATGTGGACTTTTTTTACTGAGCACAACTCATCAGTTCGCTTTGCTCCTTGTAAGCTTTCCATTCGACTCACCATGCATGCACCATTTATCGTCAAGCCAAATCCCATCACAACATAGGCTGCAGCACCCCCAACCACACCCTCTCACAGTAAGACAATTTTTCAGGTGGGCAAGCCTACATAAGTGTAGCGTGAGGTTCTATTGCCCACTGCTTATGTGGCGACGCCAGGCCCATCTGAGCATCCCGGGTTACAAGTGGGCACTGTCCCCCCCACGGTAGGGGGTGAGGGTTTGTTGTGTTGTTTGCAATGAGTGCGAGCCATTTGGTGTGAAGCAAAAATGCATGGACGACTTTGATGTTAGACCCCCCATAGAACTTCCTTGTGTTTGTGTTTGGTTTGCTATGGGATGCGACTTATAAGCAAAGGTCTAACAATTGAATGCATGGCGGCCTAGTGAGATGGCTGCTGTTGGTGCATGCACTGATGTTGGCCATGCTTTTGGCAGACAACAGTGGAGCAGCCTGCAGGGGCCGCTTTTGGTGAGATCTGCTCATGTGTGTCAAGTGGGTTTTCTATGTTTCTTGGGGCACGATGTATGGAAAGAGGCCCCGCAAGGGCTACACGAGGTAGACGAACGAGTGGAGTGGTTGATGAACAAGCCAATGCCAGAAGGTGTGATTTTGGAGTTCAAGGACCGATTAATGAGTGGTTGGAAGCATACGCGTTTAGATGTCCAGCCTGACGTATATCCGTCAGACAGCAAGCAACCAGGAATCCACATGGCGAAGTATAAGAATTGGATGGGGCTGGCGGCCGAGCAAGCGGGCAGGAAGGAGGTGCTCCCGCACATCACAATGTTTATCCCACGTTTGGTGAATCGCAAGCTTATGTAATGTAATGTAATGTTACAGAGTGGGAGGCTTCTGGGCCGCTTTATCACATTGTCAGTTCTAGATCATTTATCACCTTATAGCACCATCCACCACTACCACACTGTACTTCGCCATATGAACTGTAAGTCCAAGGCGGCAGATCCAGCCTTCAGGGACCCCTCCTCATCCATTCACCCGAACACCCGAAGAGACGGAGGATTCGGCAATCGCCACCAATCCAGCGTGCGAATCTGGTCCATCAACTGTGACCTCAACTCCACATCTCAGCAGCATGCAGTTTAGGCTTTGCTGTTGGGCACTGGCGGCTAACAGAGCGCGTAAGGGACGGCGTTATATACCTAGGGAGGAGCGAGTATGCCCTTGCTGCGGCACTGATAGCCACATCGAGGATGAGAAACACATTTTGCTGGACTGTCCGGTTTACGACGAAATCAGATCTGATATGGGCTTTCCACGCCATGAAGTGGGAACCTGAACGCCTGGCAAGGATGCTGGAACGTATATGGTCTCACCGCAACTCTATCGTTCCCTTTGGTCGTTAGTATACTCCATCACTTGTCTCGTTGGAAGTGCGAGGTAGGATGGTGCTTATAGGCGATTTGGCAGCCCTTGAGCCCTCGGCTCGTACTAGGGTGGTTTGCAGGTACAGGGAACGCACCCACGACCATGTAACAACAACAACAACAAGTGGGTAATGTGAGGCCCGTTGTGGTGCTGGTGAACATGGGCATGGGCTAGACCTGGACAGCTGATTATGGTGCTGTTGGGCAGGGGTGCCTTGCTTTGTGAAGATACCTCTCGGTGTTTGGTTTACCATATTGCTGACCCATGAGTTGAAGTGTATGAGCAAAATCGACCACGACAACGTGCATGTTTGGTACTGGCTTTGACCACCACTTAAAACACTTTCGCCAGACGCTGTAAGATGCACCACAAGTGACAGCACACCATGCAAGCAACTATGGACAACTGAACCATCCATCCTTAGTCTGTTGCAGTCTTGTCATTATTCCCAATTCTGCACCTGCAGCCTCATTTTACAGCAGAACACCCAATCCTAAACTTGTGAAAGCCTGCAATCCCCATCCTGTCGACCAGGGTCCCATCCCCATCCTTGGCCAGGCACTATGACGACGGGTGATCGCGTTACGTCGCGTTACGAGGCTTTAACGCGAGTTTAACGCGACGCTAACGCGATGTAACGCAATCTTAAGCACTGATAACGCACCGGTTCGCTTGTGCGTATGGCCTAACGCACATCATCTTTATTCGCATGCGAACGAGCTGAGTAATTTTGGCTGGCAGTGCGTTAGCTTAAGCAACTAACGCAAACTAACGCAAACTTTACGCGATCGTAAACGCGACCAGGTGACTTTTAACGCGAGCGTTACCTTACCTATAGGTGTAACGCATACGCAAGCGAATGGCATACGCGGCTGCGACTGGTGCGAATGCGTATGCATATGCGAATGTGGCGAATGATATCGCGAGTTTTACGCGACCCTAATCGCGACCAGGTGACTTTTAACGCGAGCGTTAGCTTAGCTATAGGTGTAACACATACGCATGCGACTGGTGCGAATGCGTATGCATATGCGAATGTGGCGAATGATATCGCGAGTTTTACGCGACCCTAAACGCGACCAGGTGACTTTCAACGCGAGCGTTAGCTTAGCTATAGGTGTAACGCATACGCATGCGACTGGTGCGAATGCGTATGCACATGCGAATGTGGCGAATGATATCGCGAGTTTTACGCGACCCTAAACGCGACCAGG